ACATCATTTAATACTGCAAATGTAAAAGTGTTTTTTGATAAGCTAGGTGAAGTTATGGATATATTCAGTGTTATGGATATATTCAGTTCAGTGCTTGACAAATATGGAACGTTAACAAAACTAGTGTATCTACAGTTGTAAAACCTAGTAAAATTGTGGCTGCAAAGGGCCAGAGAAATGTTGGTGCTATGATATCTGGAGAAAGAGGCACTAATGTCACAATGGTAACCACTGTATCTGCCTCAGGAAATACAGTACCTCCAATGCTTGTGTTCCCTCGCAAAAATTACAAAGATTATTTTGTTAATAATGGTCCACCGGACTGTATCGTGGTAGGCAATGGAAGTGGCTGGGTAACAGATATTGAATTCAAAAATTTTATGCAGCATTTCATTAGGCATGTGAAGTCTTCAAATGAATATAAGATTCTATTGATTTTGGGCAATCACTCTTCTCATGTGCATTTTGAAACACTAAACTTATCAAAGGAGAATGGAATATTCATGTTGTCTTTCTCACCACCCTGCAACCATAAGCTGCAGCAACTAGATGTATCAGTGTTTGGATCTTTAAAAAGTACCCATCAGTTGCACTAAATGCATGGCTGAGAAACAATCCTGGAAAGGCCATAGCAGTTTATGATATACCAAAAATTGTTTCTGATTTATTGCCATTAGCTATAACGTGTACTAATATTACAAAGGGCTTTCAAAAAATTGGTGTATACCCGTACAATGCAAACATTTTTGCTGATGATTTTTTACCATCATTTGTCACAGATCGTTTAGAACCAGCAAATCTCGTATCTGAGTTATTACACGGACCTCATTTTGAAGTACCTTTAGCATCATCTTCAGGTCAATCTGTCAAAAATAGTATTAATAAAGAGACAATGTTACTTATTCCTGAAACTCCTAAAGCATTTTCTCCAGAAACTGTGCGACCTTACCCAAAAGCAGCACCAAGAAAGATACATTTGACAAGACGATGAAAAAGGAAAGCTGCTATTCTAACACATACTCCAGAAAGAATTATATTAAAACAGCAGCAAACTAAATAACTTAAAAAAGTTGAGAAACAAAAAAAATCATCTACCTATCAATCCTTTTTAAATATTAATAAAAAGTGTGGTAATAAAGAGACTCATAGCATATTAAAAAAGTTAAGAAACAAACAAACAAAAAAACTGAGAAGAAAGAAATTTTAAAGAAACCAAAAATAGATCTGCCTGTCAATCCTTTACAGATCATGGTAATAAGAATACTCTGCTGCTTAGTATATTAAAAAAAGTTATTAGATGACAAAAAAATTAAAGATAAGTGCAGAACACGATTCTGCTTGTCTTGTATGTTGTGATTGATGTTGAAATTGGGTCCAGTTTCAAGGTTGCAATCAATGGTTTCATTCAAAATGTGATTCACATTCTGGTCAAAATTATATCTGTATTAACTGCAAAATGGAAATTGAAGACTAACGTTTTTTTTAGTTATTTAGGTGTTCCCAGAGGTCCTTACGGTCCAATCGCAGAGCACCGCGGGAGAGCATCTAACAGGGGGTTCACGCCTCCTTCCGTACCAATGTCGTTTGTTGGGCTGGAACCTCGAACCTCTGGGTTCTGAGCCATAACTCTAACCGCTGCGCCACGGCTGCTAGTATAAACACATAAAAACAGTTCATATAAACACATAAAAACGTTTAAACACATAAAAACATATAAACACATAAACACGTATAAACACATAAAAACGAGCGCCACGGCAGCTCATATAAACACATAAAACACGGCTGCTCGTATAACACATAAAGTGTTTAGTTACTATTTTATCCTAATATTAACAAGTTTTGTTTTAAAATGTTTTAAAAAGTTGTGTTTAGTTTTAAGATTGAAAAGTTTTGTTTTGTTTGTATTTTAGTATCAAAATTATTAGTTTTTGTATTCATACCTTAAATAATTTGTTAAAATTGAAAGTATATATTTAGTTTATAAGGAAGCTATGCTTTGGTTTTATAACAGAGTTTATTGTTGTCACAGAAATGCATTCATTTTTTTATGCTCATCTTACCCCACACCATTGCTCAACTTACCTCGCTGGGATAGGTAGGTTAAGCAGCCTAATAAACTTTAGACTATATTTTCTAAAATAAATCGAAAAAAGTTTTTTCGTCTCAACCAATTTTTAGCAGATCAAATTATTTTTCTAATGGTGAAAAAATTATATTAATCTGATGTACCGTTCAAGAGATCTGTTAGATTTAGTAAAAATTGCCCAAACTAGCCCTGCCCTACCCTACTTTCTTTGTTCTCTATCTAGCTTATTTATTTGGTTTTGATGAACATGAGCTTTTTATACAATTACTCAACGCAGAGCCATAGCAATTGATTTTTTAATTAATTTCCTTACTAACAATACACAAAGGAAGAGTATTGTTTTGAAGGCAATCAAAAATAAATTAACGTGGATATCATCAATTTTTGTCAAAGCAATTATCAAGTAAGTTTAGGGTTCATTTTTACGATAATGCCAAGGATGTTGAATTAAGGGTACTCTCGAGTGCCGAATACAACGGGGTGGGAATTTCAATAAATGGGGAGGAAGGGGGTTAATAAACGGGGGGGGGGGGAGATTTTTTCTGAAATTTAATAAACGGGGGAGGGGGAAAGGGGGCCTGTTCAATGCCCCCCTCCTCCTTTTATACGGCATGCAAATTATGCATGTTCAAGTCAAATGTGCATTTGACTTGAACTTGCGGTCAAAAACGCATTTTCTAACAGCTGTTAGGGTAGGGTTAGGCTGTTTTATCATAATTTCAATAGGATTTAATACGCTGATATAAGTTTTATACTTTGCAAAGTATAAAACTTATATTCAGCATAATAAATCCTATAAGCTTTGTTGAGAAATAAACTAAAATTTTTTTTTTGCTAACCAAGATTTAATAGGTCGACAATTTGTAAAACCTGTTTACACTAAAAGTTTTTGTTTTTATCAAAACTGACTGAAAATTATTTTCAAATTTTCAAGACCGATTTTCACTGAATTTTTTTTTTTACTTTTAAGATATATAATTTTTTTGTTGATAACAAGTAAAAATTAATAAACAGGAGGGGGGGGGTCTTAATAAGCTAAGGGTGGGTGGGGAAAATATCCAAAAATAATAAACGGGAGGGGGGGGGAGAGAATGTTTATTAGGAACTCGAGAGTAATTAATTTATAAAATAATTTCCTCAATAATATATAGACTAAAAATACATAAAAATACTACTTTGTAAGCATTCAAAAAGATTATGATCTTAATATGTTTCCTTACGAAATTTTATGATTTTGTTTTTCAATCATTTTTTAAATATTTCATCCCAATTTAATGAAAAAATAATGGGGGTCACGGCGAAAGGTTTTTCTTGTTAAAACTGCTGGTAGCGTAAGTCTTAATATATTATGTTGCATCTATTCTCGCCCACCCGGGCGAGATTAAATGCATTGGACGACAATATATTTATTCTGAGGGCGAGATGAGTTAAATTGGTAGGTTGAGCAGAAAACAATTTTATGCATATTCTACCATTTCAAACGAATATAAATGTTATTATAATCAGAGATTAAACAGTGGAGAACAAAGTTAAATTATAATTTAACATGAATAATGAATAATTAACTCATTAGTTTTGCATCAGCTGGTTTGAATTTGGCAAATTAAGTAACAAAAAAATTTCCGAAAACCAAAAAAATTTCTTTAAGAGATTATTTTTTTATTTGCGATTCTTTTGAGGTCAAAGTTGTTTTGATGTTAATAAGGCTGGTTTGCTGCTCTAAAAGAACGTCTTTTTGATGGTGCAGCGTGTGAGTTAACTGACATACAAGCAATTAAAGATGGTGGGCGAGATTGAGTGATGGGCGAGATTATGTAAAATTACCCTACTGTCTTTTCTGAGATTGAAAATGAGTAATATGCTTTGAACGCTCAATAAGAAAATTATTTCAGTATAATTAAATTTAATTAGCTATATTTGTTGCTAGTACATATCAATATTCACTTTTTATATTTTCACAGCACCCGTATCTACATACACATTAAAAAATTGTATGTATTGCGTGAATGTTCATATTTTTTAAATTTAGTTTTATATAAAGTTATTTATCTCATGTTTATATTATGCTTATATATGTAATATAATTGTTTTAATTTATACATAAATAATTTTTAGCTTATTTCATTCATATAACACTGTATACATAGTGTATTATAAACAAAATATTTATGCTTGACTTTTTCCTCCAGAGCTACCCAATTCTTTAGCAGATCATCGTGCTAAGTCCATTCCATACAATTAATTTTCATAAGGTTTCTTTTAACAAATAGTAGTACCAAAGTAATGCGTGGTGAAAATTAGTTATATACACGATACTACTTTTCTGTAATTTTTAAAACAAAGTAGTAAATATGTTTACGTTACGTTCGATACAAAATAACTTTTTAAAACCTCGGAAATATTAGCAAGTGGGTAGAAATTTATTAAAAATAACCGCCTCGGAACTAGTCAGCACAGTGGAAGTAGTCAAACTACTGCTTGAGTGACAATCGTATTAGTTATCTATTTACGAATTTAATATTGGTACTAATAATTGCAAAAAAAAGTTAATATCTTATTGTCGTTGTTAAACTAAACCAAAAAATTCAGTTTCATGTAGAAAGTGAAATTTCACAAATTTTTCTTGAAGTTCTTTTTATATACTATATAAATTTAAAAAAATTATCGAAACAGATTGGTTTTAGCATAGATCACTTTTTCTAATCGCCTTTTTAGAGTATATTAGCAAGGGTTTGGGGGATGCAAAGGGAGGTTATTATAGCTGTGCTTTTAATTATATAAGCGTTATTGTTTAAAAAATATTGCTTTTCAATTTTCCGAAACTATAAAACATTAATTTAGAAAATCAAATATATATAAAAACGTTGCATATAAGGAAACTCGTCGTTATAAGAAAAGACAACAGCAAAAGTGGCTATGATGCAATTTTATAAATAACTTAATTTTTACTGATATAAATTCTGTAAGTTTTCGTTTTTCTAGAATATACGCAAACCAGCTACTATACTAAATTTTTATCTAGATTATTTAGCGAATAAGGATAGTCATCCATATTTTAGTTTATAGTTCTATTGAAGTTAGTAATGACAGTTGCCAAACAATCACAAGCATCCATTTAATATCTAAATGAAAATATATATTAAAATAATAACAGCTATGTTTACATGAACTACTTAAAGCCCATACTGGTCTGCTAAGCAAAGTGCAATAAATAACAAATGTTGATAATGCTGCATACTGCTAAGAAAATTGCAATAAGTAACAAAACTTATTGCAATTTTCTTAGCAGTTACAAAAAGATTTTTAAGAAAATATGATCTAAAGTGTACAATCTATAATAATAAAAGAATAATAAGAATAAGGCCATTTGTAGAAGTTTGTAAACAAAGTCGTTTACTTTATTGTATACAATTTAGTATTCAAACTCCTTGTATACAACTTAGTATACAATGAAATATTCAACTTAGCATACAATAAAAAATACAACTTAGTATACAAACTCCTTGTATACTAAGATATAATTTGTTTTTAATTTTATACTTTAGATGATCTTTCCTCAAACCTTATCACTTACGGCAATTAAGCTCAGCAGGGCAAAATAACTATCATATGTAATGAAATAACAAATGTGAAAATAGGTATTGGAATTTACAACAAAAAGATCAACAATGTCATAGCTGACCATCAACAATTTGTTTTGGAAATTAATAAAGTGTTAAAATTACATTTCAATAACTGTATGCTTTGAAAGTATATAGCTGCAAACAAAATCTGTATGTACTGTACATATCTGTACATATCTGTACATACTGCATGCTTTACAGATATGTACATACTGTACATGTACAGATATGTACATACTGTACATATCTGTACATACTGATTGCTTTGAAAAGTATACTGTATGCTTAGAAAATATACAGCTGCATACAAAAGGAAAGGAAGAGGTCCTAAATCAAGGGTTTTACTGCGTATGTACATTATGGATGCCTACTATCATATTGTATAAAAATGTAATCTTAATACACTATTATTTTCCAAATTAAATTGTTGATGATATGCTGCGACATTTTTTGCGATATTTTTGTAGTAATTTGAATCCCCCTCCCCCCCATCTCTGCGTACATGCACATTATTGATTGGAGGAACCCATGTATTGAATTTTATTGTTGGAACCCATGTATTGAACTTATTATTGGAACCCATGTATTGAACTTTATTAAACTTAATGTATTGAACATTAATGAACTAGTTCAAGCACCTTTAAAACAGATTTTAATATCACAAGCTTTATTTTCTGGAACACATCCCAGTTCTATTATGCCATTGCAGTTTGAACTAAGCTGTCAATAACTGTCAATAAATAAAACTGTCAATAACCGTCTTTCATCAAAATGGCTGAACATACTGCTATCAATATTGGGATTTGGTGTTAGTTATGATGAGGTAAGTTTCATTTCATTAAAGTGCTGATATGTGCAGTATTTACTTGTATAATAATAAAGATGCGTATTATTTATTTTAATCAGAATCCCCAGAATCCGAACAATACCAATGTTTATCTAATTTTTTAAGGTTATCCTTTACAAACAGAATATTATAAAGCATGATACTATAGACGAGATCACCTCTGGGGAAGGGAACCTACTTTCTTCAATTTGTTGCTGACAACACAGACCGTGATATTGTTACTGTTCATGGAAAAAATTTGCACCATGGACTTGGGTCAATTGCAATTGCAAATGGAAAATTCACAGATGTTTCGTTCAAAAGAAATAAACTTCCAAGTGATAAAAAGGAACTTTGGTCAAATATCAAGTCAAACAATGGGATAATGATTAGGCAGTATTACATACCTGACATATCTTCATTAACAAAAACAATATTCAAACCAGTCATTCAGGTTTCTCATGCATACTACAGTTTAAATAAATATTTACGTCTACAAAGTTTGAAAACTAATTGTTTAAAACTAAAAGTTTGAAAACTAATTTAATTAAAGGAAAAAAATCAAGCTGGAATTATTGATATTTTATGGAACATTTGCTATCTTTTCAAAAATTCATGTCCATGTTAATCTGGCTACATGAGTTCTGCAACAAATAATATTGTAAAACAGAAATCTAACATTGCTATACTACCTGTGATTGATTTACACGCCGCTGATTTGACAGTCCTATATTCACTACTTTGCTTCATCATTGATCACTCCAAAAAAGTGAATATTACAATGCCATCCATAACATTTTATCAGCAGCTTTACATAAAAGCATACAAAATAGTCTCCACGAAAAACTTAGATATATTTGTTTGTCTTGGAGATTTCCGTCAACTTATGAGTTTTCTAGGTTCAATTAGATGTATGATGGAAGGAAGTGGTTTGAGAAGCCCTCTCGAAACAGTCTATGTCCCTTTAATAGTAGGACATATGTAATCAAGAAAAGCATTTTCACGCACTATACGAGGACATTTTTTATGTGCATCAGCAATAAATTTACTGATATTAAAGCATTTTTGGGATGATTTAAATGAAATATTTTTTAGATTGCTAAACTGGTTTACAGAGAAAAAAGATTATCTTTCATTAAACTCACGAACATCATCTTTAAGGTTACATTATGTACAATACGTAACTATGGTCCAAGAGTTTATTTGAGCAGAGAGAACAAGTAACTGGTCATTACATATTTCTGCAACAAAGTGCATGCTCAATCTTTTTGCTGCAACAGAGCAAAATAACTATGCAAAATCCTGCAGGCTTTACCTTCAGACCATTGATGCCTTACAAACAGAACACCCTCTAATTTACGCACAATACATGGCAGGTAAGGGATATGGACTGATCTAGCAATTGAACAGCCTCTGATGAAGTCACTCTACAAAAGTAGAGGTGGAGTTATTGGTAAAGGCTGGAAGAATTAAACATGATAATGACGACTTTAAAAAAATGCAATCATGGTATTTCGCTCATAACCCATTCATGGTTGGTGATCAACTTGTTAGTTTGGACTCAGGTTTGGTTGATAATCAGAAACAAATTACCTGTGATCAATCAGAAGAGATAGGAGCATCAATACACAAAAAGTTGAATGGTAAAATCTACACAAACTACTCTTTTAAACAAAAAAAAAATCAAATAACAAAACTCCAGAGCTTATACTCCTGTGTATATCTATTCAAGACGAAATTGTTACAATCAACCCAATAACACTTTTTCTAAGAATGGTTGTTGTTGTTGAAAGAAAGCCAGAGAATAAAGTGGAGAGTTACTTTTAATATGAATTATCACTGTATCCAACATCCTTATTTAAAGGAGGTGTCAAGAGATCAACACTAAAGTCAACATTGAAAACATTCATGTATCACCAGTAAAAGAACCTGTATCAATCAAGATGGCTGATTATTGCACATTATATGGTGCTGCAATTGTAAAAAAAATGAGTTACTTAGTAAGATTTTTCAGAAATACATTGATTTTACTCAACACTTACAACTTGATACAATCATTTTTGATGGTTATCAGTCGTTTAATAAAGATAGTATCCATCAAAAACGATCTGGTAAGATATTACAAACAGTTGAAATCAAAGATCTCAACCCATGCCCAGCAGAAAGATATTTTTCTAAGTAACTACAAAAAAAAAAATGATTTTGTCAGACTAGCATTGAAGTTACAAAATAATGGTTTTGAAGTTATTTGTTGTCCCAGTGATGCAGACACAAGCATTGTTAAGCTAGCGCTTGAGATTGACAACGTTGAGCCAGTCACAATTTATTCAGATGACACTGATATTTTATGTCTATTGATACATCATGTACATACTGAAGCACAACATCAAGGCATCTTTTTAAAAACGTTGACACAAATAAGGCTACAGATAAAAGAGTATGTTATAAAATTCAGAATGTTGTAAAGACAAGCGATGATACTCTTTTAAATTATGTATTATTTGCACACGCATTCACTGGGTGTGACACAACATCAGCAATCCATAACTTTGGCAAAACCACAATTTTTACGAAATTGAAAAATTCAAATGAATTGAATTCTACTGCAGATTTATTCTATAAGGAAAATATTTTGACTGATGATATTGGCAAGGGAACTATTTGTATTTTTGAGCTGCTTCATTCACCTTGTTTCAATCTACAGCAGATCAGGAAACATAAATATATTGAAATGGTGGCATCTGATTTTGCAAGTATTGATCCTGCTCTATTACCACCATCACCAAGAGCTGCATATTACCAAGGACTCAGAGTTTTTCACCAAATTAAAGTAAGGAGAAATTTGAGTGATGTTGATTTAGATCCATTGAGTTGGGGATGGGTAATACAAAATCAAATGCATGCAACAATTATGACAGATATAGAAGCAGGTCCTCAAGATATTTTAAACATTATCAGATGTGGCTGCAAAGGTCCATGTGGAAATAAATATACTTGTCAAAAAGCTGGATTAAATTGTACATCATCTTGTAAAGAATGTCACGGCGTAACATGCACTAGTTGTAATATCAATATTCTAGAAGACATTGAAGAGAAAGAAAGACATTTTCTTGATCCTTTTGAGATATGATCAATAATTTTTATATTTAAAATATATTTATATATAATTTAAAAAATACATAATGTCGGATTATTTTGTATTATCTTATAAATATTGGGTTATTTAAACGAGGAACACCGTGAATGGATTTTTTCTTTCATGGTGATCCTCGTTTTTCCAGTATTTACCTTTGGAAAGAGGAAAAATTTCAAAAATTTTTCCTCTTTCCAAAGGTAAATACTGGAGTCGCAATCCATGTTTTTTTTTTAAATTGGTCAGGTTAGCAAAAATCCACTATTCACCTTTTCATCTGTCATTTTTTTGCTTAACTCCAAAAAAGTGACAAGATACAGCCTTAAAAAGCTGATAAAATTATCTTTCCAATGGTATATAATATGTCTTTATAAATTTTTTTTTCATATTTAACATAAATTCTACAGTAATATTTAACAATGCTTATCCTTTTCTCCTGATTTTTGGGAACTAGTACAGTGTCAAAACATTTTCAAGACATTTGAAAATAGGGGAGACCGGGGCAGTTTTTGAATTTTGAATTTCAAAATGGTTTTTATACATTTTTTTTTTCTTTACATAATATAACTAAAACATCAGCTATAAAAAACTTACACTTAAAAATTAAAAGTTTTAATTTCAAAAGTTGTTGATTTTCTTTATAGGATTTTTCTTATTGGATATAAAATTTTTCTTATTGTATATAAAATTCTAGTTTTCATTTTTGAAGTTTTTTTGGAGCTTACTGTAAACTTAGAGGTATATGACCCTAATTAAGTAATGGTAAGTTAAAAAAACTTGTTACTGATGAAAAAAAAAATATCGATTCAAGCATCAGCAAAAAAGTATGCAATCTACCGCTCAACTCTTTTTTGTTACATACATAAAAAAAGCTGTTAATGTGGGAATACCACAATCTATTCCAGTTTATAAAAAGTCGCATCAAGTTTTTACTTGTGAATAAAAAATAGCTATTCCTTTATACATATCAATTATCACTATATGAAACACGAAAGCTTCCATTTGAATTGGCAATAAAAGTATGGCATTAATTTTCTAAATCGTGGTTAATACTTTCAATGTCTGGTCCTGATTGGATAAAAGGGTTTTTAAATCAACATTCAGGATTGTCTATCAGAACTCCAGAAGCAACAAGTCTTGCACTAGTTTTAATCGTGCTAATGTAGGTGGTACTAGTTTTTAACGTGCTAATGTAGATGTATTTTTTAAAAAATTATCAGGTGTTTTAGACATCATTTTTCTGCATCTAATATTTACGATATTGATGAGACAGGTAACACCACTGTGCAAAAGCCAAACAATATAATTGCTTGTAAAGGTATTGGGCATAGTGTTGGACCATTAACTTCTCAAAAATGAGGGACATTAGTAACGATTTTATTAGCTGTAAATAAATGTGGCAATAGTGTGGCTTTCATGTTTCTTTTTACAAGAACGAAATTCTTTCATCACTTTATTCATGATAGACCAAATGATTGCATTGGTGCTTTGAATAGCAGGATGAATGAGGATTATTTTGTTACTTAAATCACTTTATTCGGCATGTCAAGCCAACAAAAGAAAGCCCTGTGCTATTACTTTTAGACAATCATGAATATCATTTATCTATTCAATTGATAACATTGCGTAAAATAATGGTATAGTTTTGCTTTCCTTCCCTTATCATTGCTTACATAAGTTGCAACCACTAGATAGATCTGTATTTGGACCTTTCGAAAAATGCATAGCTAATGCGCTAGATTTAATTATATTCAAAGACTTTAATCTTTGAAGTCTTTGAATATAATTATCAGTTTACTGAAAAACTCACGTATATGTGAAGTCTAGCATAATAAAAGTATTGCAGCTCAATGAAAATACTACTTTCCTTTATTATATTTATAAAATTTTTATATTAATGTTGGATTGATACATCACTTTTATTAAACTTTATAAGAAATTTCAAAAAATATCATTAATATAAAAAGTTATAGGAGATAAATGTAATTTTTAATATTTTGTTGCAATTAGCCCCAGTCTCCCCTACAACTTCTGCTTTCAGATGACTATCTTTGGTGCTAGTCAGGAAATTCAGGAACCAGGCATTTTTCCAGCATTTAGAACAAAAGGACAAGTTTCTCATTCCAGTATTCAAGAGAGGCACAAAGATTTCTTTAAACATAGGAGACTCAAAAGCTGAAAGCTGAACAGAGATACTCTAGCATACCTGACATATAATTTTAGATATAACAATTTCACATAAACAATTTCAAAAAAACAATGTTAACTTGTTCTAGACACAATTAGAGTAAATGCTAGCTAGGTATTACAAAATTGTCAAGAAGCAATTGGAGTAAATGCTAGCTAATCAAAACAAAATAAGTCATTGAAGAGATGGAAAGAAAATGAGTCACTGATGAGGTGAAATGGTTTTTGTTTTGGCAGGTGACTTCACTAAAGTGAATTTTTATCAAGACCTCTTTCCTTGCATAATTGAAGCTATCATTCATATTGGATTTGTAAAAAAAGACTTTTTTATTCCCAGATCATACTAAAATGCATTTTAATTTCAAATACTCCCAATTCCTTATCTGGTTGCTTTTGCTATGTCAATCAACAAGCCTCAAGGACAGCAACTGAAACTTGCTGAAAGGTCTACACTTTTCTCATGAACTGTATGTTGCTTGCTCACAGCAAAAAAGTTTTTTATCTTTACTTTTAGTAAAAAGAAGAGCTTTACAGAAATCAAACCAATATTTTAAGTAGGTTGAAAGCTGTCTAATTTTGTACAAATTCAAACAATATCTTTAAATTTTGTAATAAGAATTTATAGACATCTGTGTTGGTGTAAAAAAATAAATATATTCCTTTGATCTAACATATTTAAGTGCTTTTAGTTTTTTTTTACTTTTTATAAAATAAATATTTACATGGGTGTATTCAATCTAACTTTGTAATAAATATGTACATGGGGGTATTCCTTAAATCGTACTTTGTAATAAGCTTTTAAAGAAAAAAAAATCCATGGGCAGCACCAGGCGCTTTAGCTAACTTAAAATAACTAAAATAAAAAGCCTAATACCGGTAATAGTGCGGTTTGAATGGTCCTGTTTTACTAACTCCTGAGTATTTTACTTGGTCATCTGTAAGCTCTGTTAAATGAGCATCAAATGATGGGAGATGAAGTGCAGCTACGTATTCATCTAGAGAAATTGAACATGCTATATATAAGTCAATGGATAATAGTATTAAAAAGAAGAGTTGCTTGGCATGTTTGTATAAAATTAGTTAAAAAATCATAAGTTAAACCAAAATACAAACCCATTTTTTTTGGAAGCAGATATACATCATTTTGATAACGCCCAAATGGAGCACGGAAGAGTTCAATAAGTGCAACTGCTTGTGTTGTGGCTGTGATAGATAACACAAAAGAAGGAACACTAGAACAACTTAGGTTTACCAAACGACCCTAAAAACCAATTTAAAAAATAAAAAAATAATACAACTTCTGTAATGAAAAAAATTTCAATCTTTAATTTTATAGAAATTTTGCCTCTGCCAGCAGAGTGATTCTTTTTCCATCAGGCCAAACAATATGATCAACTTGAGTGCGAACCTTTTCCCATGTTAAATCAGGTGTTCTCAAACTTCCCTGAAAGTATATTTTTATTATTCTTAAAAAGTACAACAAAATATAGTGTAGTTTTGAGTTTTTTTTATTTATTGTTTAATTATTAAAAAAAAAAAAATAATAGTTTTATTGTTCAGTTCCAATATGATGATGAAAAAAAAGGTTCTTTAGTTAATTTAATTTTTGTATTTTTGTATTTTTTTAAAAAGCACTTTAGTACCCTGTCATTAAAAAAAAAACTTTTTTGCACAATTATATTAACTAAGTTTTTTTGTCTGATATTCTAGAACTTTGTGCAAAAAATAGTCTAATATGTACAGTAAACGTTGTGTACTGCTGATAGTTAGATTTTAATGTTTTAATAAATTTTAATAAGTTTTGTGTAATGCTGACAGATAAAATAATATATAAAGTAGTATAGTTATTAATATTGAGTATAAGCTCTATTTTAATTTAGATTTTGAGGCCTGTTTCCTGTCTTGTCAAAAAGAAGTAGAGGCCCCTGCCTTAACTTTGATTCTAATGTTGTTTAATGTTTTTTCTGCTATTGATACTCCAGTTTTTGCAGCCATCATTAGCAAATACTTGTCAGAGTTCCTTAATGTTTGCAACCATCATAAGAAAATATTTGTCAGAGTTTCCTTCCTTAATACATTGAAAAGCTTGAGTTTATAACATGATTGAGTTTATCATTTATTTTATTATTTGTAGCATCTCTACATCCATCAAGTCATTTGTACGTGAAAAAAATAAGATTAAAAAAAATTTGAAAACAGGTCATTATTTAAGATTTAGTTTGTTTAAAATCTTGACAGATGTTATCCATTTTGATCCAAGCAATTTTACCTGAAAACTTTAGTCAGAAGGCAAAACAAGACAGAGATGTGGATCCAGAAAAACTATGGTTAGAGGGCAAAATAAGACAGAAATGTGGATCCAGAAAAACTATGGTCAGAAGGCAAAACAAGACAGAGATCCAGAATATCAAAGTTAAGTTTGAGGGTTTTAAGTTTCTTATATTATTAATGCAAAAGGAATAGGAAACACAATTAAGTTTAAAATAATTCATGCTTCTACTTTACAATAGCCACAACAAAAAATAAAAAAACCACAGCCATACTATGCTGTTGCAGGGTTTATTTTAAATAAAAAAAACGACGTAGCTTATTAGCTTTTGCTGATTTTTACATCAGTTACTTTATTTATTTTTATTATTTCAACGCTTTTACGATTATCTTTATTTTATTATTATTTAAGGACATAAACTTTTTTAAATTACCGCAATAAAATAAATTACAGCGAACATTACTGCAAATAATTACTGCAAAACAAGTTTATTTTACTAATTGAGAAAAGCGGTCGCTCGCAAGTTACATCACGCTTTTAAGGAGGGGGGTCATAGATTTTGTGACAAGCTGTGACAAGAAGCATTACTTATAAACTATAATATATTTTGTGACAAGTAAGGGGGGGGGGGGGGAGGGGTCTAAAAAGTTGTTTTTTTGTGTGACATAATTTGAGAATGACCCCAAAACAAACTTTTTAAATTTACACATTGTGGAATGTCTATTTTGTTTCAATTTTTATTTTATTTTTTAATTTTAAATAATTTACTTTTTTTATTATCATTTAACATAAATTAATTTCTTTTTTTTCTTGACAATCGTAAAAATTAAAATATGTTTTGCATTTATTTCATTACTTCTTAAAATTGCTTTGCAAATAATGATTTTTAATACTTTTAAAAAGCTATTAACAAAGAAATAATATTAGTTGTTGCTAAGAAAACAACTCAAGTTTATTACTTTACCAGAGCTTTTTTTGTGACAAATAAAGATTTAAGTTCCAAGTATCATTTATTAAAAAATATATACCGTTGCGCTTTCACTTCCCTTAAGACAAAAAAGTTGAACGTGGGCTTTATGAATATTTTAATAGGAATTTAAATTCTTGTAAAAAATAGAAAAGAAGGAAGAAAAACCAAGAAAAAAAATATATATATATTTTTTTAATTTAAATAACTTTTTTAATCAAAATTCTTTTATAATTATAAGGAAATTTCTGTTTTTTCTTTATTGATATCCCACATTCTGCTATTTATATAAAGCTGATGTAACTATTATAAAATATTATTTTTCTAAACTATTATTTTTCGCAAAATAAAACTTATAAATATAAACAAAACACATTGCAATATTGACGCAGCTATATTGCTTCAAGCATAAATTCAAGCAAAAAAATTAATAAAAGAGTTATATCCATAAAAATCAAGACTTATGCCCTAACTACATGTTCTTATTAAAATTACTGATGCTTTGTCTATATTGAAATAATTTTAGTTCATTTAATTTTGTTAAAATGAATGCTCTGCTCAAAATATTTTTACAAAATTATTTTCTGAAAAAAAGTAAAATCATATTTCTTTTTATTTAGGGTCGTGACATAACAGATGTTTATTAGTTTAAATTCAAAAAAACTTAAACTTAAATGTATGTTACAAATATTACTTAAATAATTTATATAATTATTACTTAAATAATTTTTATAAATATTACCTTAATAATATATACAAATGTGTATATATAGCTTTTTTTTTTTTTTAATTTTTTTTTTAAACTTTTCGACTATCAAAAAACTTTCGCCATTCTGAAAGCCACTCCAAAGCAACTGTTGTTACAGACACCATAATAGAAGCAAAATAAAACTTTTTAAAATTCATGCACTGTCTAACTCAAATATTCACATAGCCTATTGAAAACTGCTATTGAAAACTATTGACGCCTATTGAAAACTGCTAGTATCTGATTCATAAAAATTTTAATGAAATATTCTTAAACTTATTTTTGAGCCTTATAACATAAACTTGAAAACTGTCAGATTGCTCCTACTCTCATGTAGTTTATGTGCTGATTGCTCTTCCAACCAAATGTTACTACCAGCAGAGGAGCAAAACGAAGAATATGTTGAGGTTATTTACATAAATTGATACAAAGATGAAGTTACGAACTGCCTACAAAAAAGATTAATCAAACAGTCTTAGTATGCAACAAAAACAGAGTTTTTGAAAATGATGCCTTATGTTAAACTAATAACATATTGATTTAAGCCTAAATCTATAGCTGTATTGATTAAGAACAAATTTAAAGTGCAAAATAACAATCTTTTGTGTTGCAATTTAATATATAAGCAATGTTTGCTTATATAACTAATAAAAACGATCACAGCAAAACATGCATCAGTGTTTTCCTTGAAAAAAACATTAAAGGTATTTGCTTAAATAGTTTTATATCTTTAATATGCATATCTTTTTATATCTTTCATATGCAATATTATATTCCTTCAAGGAATGCATAACATTTGTAATCATTTTTTTATAAGCTTACGCAACCATACTACATATTCAGAATATTCTACAAATACTATCATAGTCGCTACTCAAAGGAGCTATCATCTCTAGTTCCATCTTTTCCTCCACTTTTCAACCCTTTGGAACTCTCTCCCATCTTCATACTTTCCTTCATATTTTTTTGCTCTATAACTCTACTCTTTTTTTTTCAATATATAATAACCAACTCTTTATTAGATTATATCACCTTAGCAGAATGTACCAAAAAACACTCTCAATAACACAAAACTGATTTCTTTATCTAAGAATTAAAATACTAAATACTTTAAACAACGATATCTATGGAGCTACAAATTAAACAAGACTAATATTTTGGGATTTTCTTATTATAGATTGTAAAATTTTATTCTACTTTGTTACATTAAAATTAAAGCCAAGAATTATTCAATTTTTAGCAACCTGCATCCCACTGTCCACTGTGATATTTTCTCGCTATAGATCATCATTAAAAAGGACAAAACATTAGTTTCACACATTAGTTGCACACATTATTTCGCCCTCTGTTAACAATTTTAATGAATTTTATTGAATCAACTAGACTAGATTCAAACCTCTTTAACAGTGACCTTATTTGGTAAAAGATGTTAATATAAAAGGTATAAATGATCCTGACAACAAATATCTATAAATTAGTGCAAAGCATAAATACTTAAGAAGAATATAGAGGACAAACTTTAAACTTTTTAAAAAAAAGATTAGCTTGAAATGTTCATGAACAAATTAATAGGAACTCCCTTAAACATGGTTGTGCATATAAGACACCAAATTATTTTTAAAAAAATTAACATTAAAAAAAAAAAGTTAAATATTCTAAAACTATGAGGTATTAGACAACTTTCTTAATGCAACTTTACGTGCAAATTGTTATCTATACTTATTTGACTTGATAAAAAGAGTGAAGTATACAAAAATAAATTATAATATATAACGAAACTTTCATATTTTTGAAAACTAAATTTATTTGAAGAGTTAGATTCATAAACAATATCAACGTTTTTTCATCAATATTTCTGGGATCTTAAATCTTAAACCAGCAATGTTTACATAAGTTAAAAATTATAGAAGATGAAATTCAAATTTTATCATAACAGATTGACTCTAAGTTTTAGCCTAATTATGCAATATACCTGGGTTAAGTATGTAACATATCTGGCTATGTATAAAGTAGGTCATAAAATAACAGATGTACTACATTTTACTAATTTCTCAACAATAAATTTACAATTTATCTTTTTTTTTTAGTAAGAAAACTCTTTTATGTAGTATAGCAAAACAGCATGTCTCTGATGAGAATAAATTTACTAAAATTTCCATTTACTAAAATTTTAAATTAAATATACAACTATTTTAATAATACATGACAAAAAATTAAAGAATAAAAAATATAACTTTCCTCGCATATTTTTATTAAATATCAGTTTAGCCTGCAGGTTTAATATAACAAAAGTATCAAAGATCATAATAAAAGATAGCTTTCAATACTTAAATGTTTTTTTTCAGACTTAAATGATAAACAATAGTGGTACAATAACATGTTGCTTTAAAACAAAACAAAAAAATACAAAACAGACAATAATTATGGTAACTTTGTCAATTTGGTACAACTTTTTAATAGAGCTTTTTTTTTAACCAATTTTAAATCTTAATAGAAAGTTAGAAAAATAGAAAATTAATAAGCTAAATACAGCAAACATGTTTTTCTTTTAAAGTTTATTCCTTTCAATATTAAACTTTTATGCTTCTATTGAAGATACAAATAAAAAATTTTAGTCTATAGCTCTCTGTTTCTCTATTAATAATAAGTTTCTTTATTCTAGATATATAGAATCTGTTATATGGAATTATTTACAAAGAATTCTCTGTAACACTTAAATTCCTAAACGGATTTAAGGAAATTAAAGCTAAACATATTACATACTAATATATACTAATTACAATATTAAAAAAATATATATTGTGTTTGTATGTGCAAATTAACTCATTAAAAGAATTTTCAACAAAACTACGGAGTGTGTACATTTTCGCAAATGAACTTGCTAAAAACACTGCAGAGCTGCAGAAAATGTTCGTATATGCTTAATAGAAAAAAAAAAAAAGAAAAGCTTATTGAGCTAACTTAAAAGTTTTTTTTAGTAAAAACAATTTTTCAAGTTTCAAGCTTCCAATAAAAATATTTGATCACATAGTCATTAATTAAGAAATTTTCATCCTTAAATTTTAAGGCATGCAACAATACTTATTCGTGGTTATTCTACAGAATATATATTCTATTTGTTTACAACTTCTTTTAAAACTAACTTTTTAAACACTTATCAATTTAATAAAGACTGAGATTTTTGATTAAACATTTTGAATAAAAGAAAAATTCTAATATTAAAATATTGCATACAATATGTATAAAAATATAAAAAAAGATGTTTAAAATATGATTTTAAAAAATGATAAAACTGCTGAACAAATAAAAAAAACAAATAAATAAATAAATTAAGAATTCTAACAACAGAGTTTATTTTAAAATAAAAAAAAAAGTTGCTTTTTTTAGAAAACCCATATACATATAATGTTAACTAACAAAACTAAAAGAACAAGACTTACAACATCAATTTCAGTGTTTGAATGTCCCATGTTACAAACAATGCAGCCATTTTTAAGTCTATCCAAGTGTTCTCTTCGAACGACGTGCTTATTACCTGTAAAAAAAAAAAAAGATCTAATTTGTTAAGATTCCATCAAAATTGAACAACAGAAAAATTCTTTCCATTACTAATGGCCTTCAATCAAAAAGGTCAGGTACATAACTGGTAACTTTAAGCAAATAAAACTTCATTCAGTGTTGAAATTTGTTTAAAGATACATTGCACAACTTGTTGCACAACATAAAATTATCTTAACTATGTCTTTTTTATACATTTTTTACTCTATTTGTTTTTTAACTTTATATATAAATTTATTCAATTATTATTTCATCATTGTTTATTTGATTTTTGTTTAAATTTTGTTTAAATTTTATTTAATTTTTTTAGTTAATTTTTAATTTAGTTTTAGTAGTTTTTAGTAGTTAATTATTAAATGATTATATTTTTTTTATAATACCTAATATTTTTTTTACTTATGTTATTATGCTTTTGTTATATATGTTATTGTTATTATACTTTTCATATAATATTAAAAACACTTTACTTTATAATATCAAAAAAATTTACTAATTTACTACTTATTTATTTATTTTTATTTTACTATTATTTGATTTATTTATTACTATTATTTTATTCAATTAATATTTATTTAGGTGTCCTATATGTTTGGATATCAAGTTGATAATAATTTTGTTAAACATAATAATTAATGTCAGTAGACTTAAATATTTATTAGTAGACCTACTTAATTTTACTTATAATATTAAAAAAACTTTACATCTATTTAGAAGTTTGAGGAGAGGTTTATTACTATCACTACATTAATTATGTTTACACAAAAGCATTTTTTTTTAACCTTATCATTCCCTATCATTTTGTTTATTTTTGTTTGTTTGTTTTAACTAGTTTAATTATTTATTTTATTATTTTGTTTAATATTTTTGTTAAGCTATACTTTTACAATAAAATTATTGTTGACTATGACTTTATATTTATGTTCTGAAAAAAATGATTATATCCTTGATATAATAATTTTTTTGATAGCTAATTCTAATTTCTCTGCGGGCTATCATTGCTCAGTCTAGATAATTTTGTTATATTTGATACAGATTACCTGAATCAAGAATAACAAAATTATCAATTTACAAATTTGAACTTTTAAAAAATGCTTACCCTCATCCTACCTTAAACCCTAACTTATTAGTTTCATTTTTCATCTTTTTTATATAGAGAATTAATAATGCAATACTTCTATTTTAGTACTTATATCTTTGTTTCAGTTACTCAGTTGATAAATTAACTCAGTTATTCGGTTGATAAGTGTGCTTTTCTTTTTTCATTAAAAAAACTACAGCAGTTTTTAATATTTTAAATGCTAAGAGGACCATTTTTAAGAGGACCATTTTTAAATTAAATGTTCTGAAATTCTTGTTGTGTAGTGTCTGGTGGTTTCACCAATGTATCCAACATTACAGCTGGAACATACAAGTAATACTGGATACATTTGCGAAACCACCAGACACTACATAACAAGGATTTCAGAACATTTAAATTCAGATAAGGCCTCCCATATTTACAAACACCTCAATTCATCACAAAAAAGCAAAAACTCAACAAACTCTGATTGCTTTTCCATTATTGACAGAGTTTCCTCCAAGTATGAGCTCAAAATTAGGAAGAGATCCATATTGAAATGGAAAAACCTCTTTTTAATACACAATTAAAATCATATACTATTACTATAAAAATATATTTTCTCAATTATTTTTTATTTCCTATTTTGTTTGTTATTAATTACTTCACACCTTTTGTATAATCTTTTGTAAAATTTCAGGGTAATTATTTATTTTATAAAATATAACTATGGTAATTATTGTAAAAACTATTAAATTTTTAGTGCAGCCAAAAAAAATTGTTTATATACAGAAATTGTAACTAATTTTTTATATCTGATGATGTCAATTGATATTGATGAAAGATTTTGTCAAAAAGTTTTTAAAAAATTGTTATATATATACACAACCCTTGGAATTAAAAAAAATGAGGTCAGCAATAATTTACCAACCTCAATCTTTTAGAGGTCAGCATCAGGTCAGCAAAAAAAATTTAAAACAAAGACCTTACTATAAAACATAGAAACAAGGTCAGCAATTTTTTGCCCACCTCAAACACTTTTAGGTCTGCAGTTAAGTCGGCATCGCCGAATGCTGACCCTAATTCTGAGGGTTGCATATAACATTGTATATAACAATATATATATATATGTAAATTAGCTAAAGCAGCTGTTCTTCTGCAAGAAAAAGATGGCACCCAAATAAGTATTGCAAAAATAGTTGAAGTCTCGTAGGCTACAGTCAGAAGTATAAGTTCCAAATTTAAAATAGGGGTCAAATTAGAACCACAGAGAAAAGGTTGCTATGGTTGAAAGCAATAAAACTGAAAAGCATTTTGAAAGACCAAGACATCAACATTTCACATGGATCTTTAAGAAGGAGAAGTTACGAGTTTGGATTTAAGTGTAAAAAAATTTTTCAGTAATCTTGCGAAAGTAAATAAAATTCTCAACAAGAAATCCAGGGATTGAATAGAAAAACGGCAATTGAATACTTTTTAAGTACTCATCAAACATCTAAAAATGAATAATTTAATAATAGTAAAACTAAAATATTTAATACATTAATGAACCTCAAATTAAGTTGAAAACATGTTTTAACTTAATTTTGTTATATTAAACTTATCTAAGACTTTTAAAAATTAATGAACCTAAGTACTTTAAATTATAAAGCAATACTTTAAAATGGTAACACAGTATAAATAAAAATAATTAGTATAATTAATTAAAAATAATATAAATACGCAAGACTTCATTAATTAAACGGACGCTAAAAAAATTTTGTAATTTAAAAAACCTTCTATTTTTTGATAACTTTATTAATTAAATTGACTTTAAAAAAACTTTCATCAATCACGCACATATTTAAAATTAAAATTAATGGAAATAAAAATGGAATTTGAATAATGCACACGTATGGAATTAAAATGAATGGATATAATAATGAAATTAAAATTGCGGACACTTTTGGAAGCAGAAAATTCAAAATTAAATTAAGGTATACCTTCTATTAAAAACTCTTGTTCATTCCATTAACAAGCTCTTAAATTTTATTTGTTTTTTGTAAAATACTAGTTTTAATATTATAATATATACATACATATATATATATATATATATATATATATATATATATATATATATATATATATATATATATATATATATATATATATATATATATATATATATATATATATATATATATATACATATATATATATATATATATATATATATATATATATATATATATATATATATATATATATATATATATATATATATAGTATAATATAATATTATATTTTATGTTTGATTGTACATATTTTGCAGACAAGCAATAATGTTTTTATTTTTTATTTTTAATAAAATTGAGAGTTTTAAAAGGAAAACATTGCAAAGAGAATAAATAGTTACACAACCAAACAGCTACTACTGTATACCAAAGACGATGTACAAATTACTTAATTGCAATTATAAGCTTAAACTTTATTCACTTTTACTTTTTTTGACGATCACCAAATCCCAGGAAATTTCGGAGACTAATCCCGGAATTTCGGGATAAACAATTTGTACAAAATCCCAGGACTCCGGGATTGACATCCCTAATTATAAGCTATTATGTAGAAATGCCATACCATTTAGGAAATGTCTAATTAGATGTGGGTTTAACAGAAAGTAATGTAGAAATGCTATTATGGAATGCTCATTTTCTTTCTTTTTTTTCTTTTTTAAAAGCTTTGCAACTAAAAATGATTTTTTATTTTTAAAAAATTTAGCAAGTTTAACAAATAAAAAAAAGTTAATTCATTTACTTTGTTTATTTATATATTGCTTTAGGCATACGTAAAATAGCTTAACGCATATGTAAATTATGAGCTGCATAACACTTCAAAACAAAGCCTGATATATATATATATATATATATATATATATATATATATATATATATATATATATATATATATATGTATATATAATTTAATATTATTTATATATATAAATTTAGCGGAAAATCTGTATATATATATATATATATATATATATATATATATATATATATATATATATATATATATATTTACGTAGAAGTTATGTGTTTTTTTAATTAACAACCCCTAGTGTGTCCCAAAAAACAACTTTTATTTACAAAATTATATAAAAATTTCAAAAATAATTATTTTATTAAAAATATTGAGAAAATTTTTTAGGCAGTGAAATTCAATAAGTTTTTATAAAATGATGATTATTTTTAAAACTTATACATAATTTTGCTTTTTTTGAGACCCGACATAATATAATTTTAAAGAGCTTTTTTTTTTGATAATATTAGGAACCCATCTGTTGTTCAAGGGTCTTGAGTGACCCATAAAAAAAAAAAAAAAAATTTAAAAAAATTCAACGCTAGTATTATTTTATTATATAGAACACATATAGAGGGTGGGAACAGACATTTTTTTAAAAAGTAGTTTTTTAAGACACCCTAGCAACCCGCCCATAAAATAACATACATATAAATTTATAATAAAAAAACACTAACCGGTGCATGTTATTAGGATATCAATTATCTTAATGGACTCTTCAATTCGAACTACACGAAAACCATCCATACTAAAAATTGCCAAATCTTCTTAAGTAACATGTTCTGTAAGTAAAGTTCTGAGCAAAATTTCTTAGAAGACTTATAAGACAAATGAGACATTTGATAAACACCAGAAAGATGTTCATCAATTTAAAAACTACTTGTGTATAAAAACTAAATATGAAATCTCATAACCATGCTTGAAGTGCACATATAGGATCAACTTCAGTGACATAAACAACAGCACCAAGACCTTTTAGAGCTTGACAGCAACCTTTGCCAACCTCACCATACCCACAAATCAAAACTTGTTTTCCACCAAACATGACATCTGTAGTGCGCTTCAAACTAAAAATAAATTTAAAAAATTAACAAATAAAAGAGATCAACAAAGAAAAATAAAAATTAAATGCTAAAGTAATTTTTCTTATGAAAACAATTTTCAATTTATATTACACTTGAAAGATATGGATTGGGGTTATTATTACTATTTTCTTATATAATTAAGAGTTGATGTCATTTTTTACAAGCAGATGCCCTTCTTGCTGTTAACCTGTTCACCAATCAGACTTAAGTATTTTTATTGTAATGCAATCACAAGGAAGATTATTATCCAAGGCTTAGAACCCTCCTGGTTACTCTTACCAAAAATTAAATCAGGGGTTTTATGTGAGGATTTTCTGTCTTTAAGGTAAGTTACCTATACCATAGTTAAGAAGTCTTTCTATCCCCATTCTTTCCATCTTGTATGAAATTTAAAAAAATGACAATAAAGAATTTTTTTTACCTGTCTAGTATAGATTCACGACAGCAATATAGGTTATCAAACTTTGTCTAAGTGGAAAAAAAATTAAAACATGCTTTCTCTATAAAGAAAAAAAAAAGGAGCAAGACAGAAAGTTTATTAGTTTCTACAAAAAAACAATAACAACCTTAGTCACTGAATCATTAACATTCATGGCTGGGATCGACAATGTTTGTGCTTTAGATAATTGATACAATCTATAAAATTATAAATCTTTTAAAAAATAAAGCAACTTTAAAGAATTATTTAAAAAACTATGCAAATTTAAATTTGAAAATTATATTAACACGTTCACGCCGGCGTGTACCACCGGTGGTACACGCCGCCCAATGAGACAGTCTAGTGTGTACCACCAGTGGTACACGCCGCCCAATGAGAGAGTCTAGTGTGTACCACCGGTGGTACACGCCGGCGTGAACGTGTTAAGTTAAAAAACCATGACTACCAGTACTGAGTATTGCATAAAAAATTATACAACTAGCCTTGGGGGAAGGGGAGAGGTAATATTAAAAAAAAGGTCTTTATGTAAAACACCTGCTTTGTTAAATAACCCCTTTTTGTAACTGTATTGTTTTGCATTACTTTTCTTTATAAGATTAACTACCCTTTTACAGTTTCTTTTACAGTTTCTGTTTGTTACAGAAGATGATGTGTTGTTACATAAGTAACATACAGAAGATGCTGTGGGCATAAATCATAAAAGGGTCTTTGAGTAGGAGAAATTTAATTTAAGTAACATAATAAATCTCTTAAAGAGGTTTTTTATTTTATTTTATGAAAAATCTTATTACAAAAAAAGTTAAAATAACTAAACTAAATCAGTTGAATTAATTTAAATTACATTTTAACCAATAGTAATTGTAATTTAATTAACAATAATAGTAACTACCAATGTAAATGTTACCAATAGCATAATTTGAAAAAAATAACTTTGTTAACTCTAAGTTGAAAGCTCAAAAAAGAAAAGTTAAGTAAATGCCATTAGTGTGACCATGTAGCATTATTATAGTTTTTTGTGAAAATGCAGCAACAATGTGATTTGTGTAACATTCCTTTAAATAACTGTATACCACTAATGTTCAGTTTAATGGTGAGTGACTAGAGTAGAGATTCCCTGCACAGCGGGTAACACAACACTTAACAGTGTTACCCACTGGTGATTTTTCTATTGAAACTTTTGTATGGATCACATCAGGGACTGCTTCATATAAGTTTGGCTTCATTAACAGTAAATCGCAAATTTAATACTTACTCATTAATGCTTGAGTCATTTAACACTAATGGTGTTTGGTTTCTCTTCATACTTTTTTAGGTAGTTCTTTTACCTCACCATCATCTTGCTATACTTCAAAATCAAATTTCATCAACATATACTTCACTTCATATCACCTTTTACATCCAATTTTTTTTATCATTATACATATAACCATTGTTTATCATAATATTCTTTTCACAAACTTTTGTAGTGGCATGACAAGGTGGTCATTGGATTAATGTCTTGTGTCTTTCTGCTGACAAATTTTTTATTCTTTATTGCCAATTCAATTGCATGTTTCATTGCCCTACATGGTTTCTCCATTTTGTACATTTGCTATTTTTAATTTTAACCAATACTGTTGCTTTTTTTAATTTTAACCAATACTGGAACACAGAACTAAATTGAAACACTAGAATTTTTATTGATTTTTCTACATTTACCAATTAAGTTCTGTAAGGTTTGATTTTATGATTATTATTTGCATCGCCTTTACAAGACCATTATTATTTGTATTATACTTTTGAAACCTTTCTGAGCAGTTAAAAAAATCTTGAACACTTACTATATTACCGCAACAAACATTATTTTGTATTTTGTATTATATACATAATGCAAAGTACAATAGTAGATATTTGGCTAATCTTCAAATCATTTGTTTTAACCATGAAAATGAATTCTCATTATTTATAATTTAGATTTAGTTTACTCATTTAATTTTACCACAGCCTTCTATAATAACAGGTCTTGACATTATGCAATAAAGTTGTTTAATTGAAAGCCGATTCTTTTAACTTTAGACGAAAGTTTGCATTGGCCCTTTTTTAATAAATCTTGTCAATACTTTTTTTTTTTTTTTTAACATCTTCGCTTTTAACAAGGCTGCAAGCAACCACTATTAGAGTTGAAAGTTACTGGAAGAAAAAAGATTGCAGACCAAGATTAAGATTGACGGGACAACTTAAAAGATTGCAAATTACATGAATCAGGACAGAAAAATGAAGGAAGTGAATTCCAAAGAACTGATGTTTGAGGAAAAAAACTAGAGGAATAAGAGTTTTTGGAACACTTAATAACAGTCACAGAAAAAGCTTGAGACTTAATTGAATAACGAGAAACACAAGAATGAATTTTACTAGATGGCACAAGAGGCATTAGCTCATTAGAGCAGTGTCCATTATAGTAGTTGCAGAAAAGAGAAAGAGAAGCAACATTACAACGATGTGATAATGGCTAGAGGTTGACTGCAAGAACAGATCCAACTATGTTTACAATGCGTTTTTGCACTTTGTTTAAAAGAGAAAGGGCATCATTCGAAGATCTGTCGCAAATATGACAACAGAATTTCATACAAGGACAGATTTGAGATTTATAGAGATAAAGAATAGAATCTGATGTAAGAAAGTGTTGAGCACGATAAAGAGATGCTACCTTAGTGGATGCTAATTATGCAATGGATTTGATATATGGTTTCCAAGAAGAAGAAACTTTATACTACGATTGGAAAGGAAGGATTCAATAATCTTAAAGATGTTACCAGATACACTGAAGAAAGCTTATGGAGAAGACCAGCAATGCCAAACTTTATCAAAATCTTTAGAAATGTCAAGAGCAATAGCCTTAACCTCTCCACGTTTATTTAATGCATGATAAAACCTATCAGTTATTACTGTTAGCAAATCAGCTGTAGAACAAGAAGATCAAAATCAATTTTGATGACCAGAAAGTGAGTTTTTAGATTCAAGATGAGAGATTAGGTGTTTGTTAATTATTAATTGATTCTAAGCAGGAAATCACTTTAAATACAGAAGCTGGAGTGATACAAATGTCAAGCAAAGAATCAACCTGTTTGACGGCTATATCAGGTTGAATGAACTAGTGAAATCGAGAGATGATATTAATGAAAAGTTCTTAACAAACAATTCAGCTTTGTCTTTAGGTGAGACAACAGCTATACAAGAGAAGTGGAATAACAGATTTGCCCTTATTATTGATACTGTTAAAGATTCTCCAGATATGCGGTAGTGGTGTAGTGGTAGAGCGCTCGCTTCATAAGCAAGAGGCTCCGAGTTTGATCCCCACCACATCTCTGGTAGTACCACGCTCAACTTGTTTCTCTGCACAGCGGCCTGGTTCATCAAGGTTCGTGTTTCGGAGTTAAAGAGTTAAGAGAGGGTTATAACCACAATTAATTAGCCTCCTCGTCTGTAGTGGCCTTCTCGGCCTTGGGGAGGTGAAATAACAAAAAAAAAAAAAAAAAAGTCACAAGAATCCACAATTGGTTTATATATTAGATAGCACAACTTCAAGACGTAATTTATTATTTTATTGTTTCAGACTATACAGCAGTTCACTGCATTGGCCAGGTATTGCACTTTTTGAAAGCAAATATGGGAAGCAACGGCCTTTAAACCCACCATCTGTTTTAAAAAATATTCCACCTAGTTGTTTATCCATAAAAGTACTATTAATTTCATTAATAATACTTTTATGAATTTAGATCCATTGAAAAGAACATACTTCTAATTGATGAGGTTTATGTCAAAGCTTCATTACTTTACTAAAGAGGTGCTTTGTTTGGTCACGCAGTAAACTATCCTAAAAAGTTAGCTAAAACAATTTTATCATTTATAATCAAACATCTTTTTGGAGGTCCAGAATTTATATGTAGAGCTCAACATGTTGCAAATCTTTCCTCTGAATTTCAGTTTGCTTAATGTCAACAAATTGTTGATACAATAAATAATATTGATAATAGTAAGATACTGGCAATAATTACTGATGGTAACCGTGTAAATCAACAATTTTTCAAAATGTTTAAAACTATTGATAGTAAACCATGGTTAACAACATCAGGTATATATTTATTGTATGATTATGTGCATCTCTTAAATCAGAAAAGATTGGCAAGCTTCATTTTTTGCACAATGAAGAACTGGTTTTGGCTAAGTGGAGTGATTTGAAAACTTTATACAATACTGAGTGCAATAGTCTTTTTAAACTCTTTAAACTTACACCTAAATCAGTTTATCTGAATCAATAGAGAGTTTTTGTTTTTTTTGCGAAGAAACAGTAGCAGCCATAAGAACGCATCCATAGATTAAAAATAAACCATTTGAAGGTACTGCTGTATTTTCATTCGGTTTAGAAATCAATTATGTGGAGAAATCCACTGAGTTGGTGATCTACAGTTACAACTGCTACCAGATTTAGGCTAGATACTAGTAACGCAATAGTGCATACATGTTATGGCTTAATCTCGTATAAACTATGTTGAGTAATGGATCTAGTAGAAACTATGTTGAGTAATGGAGCAAAGTATGTCTTATTAGGTTGATTTTCAACAGATCCACTTGAAAAAGCTTTTTCTAAGCTTTGACAGGGATCTGTACTTTATAAATGCTAAATCTGTAATTAAAAAAAATATATATTCAATATACTAAATTGATATTACAACTTGACATTTCTGTTGATGGTTGATGGTATGGTTAGTTTTTTAATTTATTATGCTATTTTCGTGTTATATTTTTTATTTCCTTTTTAGCTATTATGTCTCTCAATATGTTTGGATTTGTAAATATTCAGCCTGTTGGAATATATTGATAAAACCTTTTTTTGCATGAATCAATTTTTGTTTGTGTTTTTTATTGTTGGTGATTTTCATTGTTACCTTTTTTTTGTTATGTTTCTGTAGGCAAAAAAAAACAGTTATTTTTTTAATATATAGATATACACATTTATGGTCCTGCTCGTTATTGATATTATTTAATATTTCATTGATATTGATATTTCATTAATATTGCTGATGAAATTTGAAATACGAAAAAAATAATTATCTTTTAACAATTATTTGGTTTTTCTTTTATATTTCTGTCTTTATTAGAGATTTTTATTAGAAAATATAGACTACCATTACACCCTACCTTATATAAAACATATCAATAAAATTAAAAATGAATGTTTATTCAGGCTTGGTTGGGAAGCGGGTGCGATCGCACTGGATAACTGACCACAGAAATAATACTTAGTTGCAAAAAACTGGCCAGATTTTTTAGTCGTTTTGAGAACATTTAAGTATATGTATGTTTCCTTGTTTGTCCGGAAAATAATAAGTTCATTATTTTATTGTAAATTTTAGTATATTTTGTTTTATGGACTTACATGGAAACATACATAAACTCGAATGTTCTCAAACATCTTTGTGCGGAAAAATAAAAAAAGAATATTCACGAACAAAAAAAACTCGCCAAATCTACGAACAACTAATTCTATTGGTTCAAAAAATACTAACCGAAATTTCTAGAGTATTCACCGAATGTTCTAGAGTGTTCTGTAGAAATTTTTTTAAAAATTTATTATTATTTAAGTATTGTTTTGTTATCGTTGAGATTTCTAGCATAAACTGTTTGAAGAATATACTATCAATCAAACTATTATTTTAATACTATGGCTCATTCTCGAAGCCACATCTACAAAGCTATAAATGTTTTAAACTAACATTATTTGTTTACAAAAATAAATGTTTTGAAATTATATTTTTTAACTTGTCAACATTTTGTAAATATAATACAGATTTTATTAGTATATTCTTATTTTTTATATGTAAGGGATGAATCTTTTATGCATGTTATGTATTTTTGTGTATGTATTTTTTATGTATGTAATTTTATGTATGTGTATTTTATTCAAATGTAATCTTTTAAAGCAATTTGTGCGATTGATTTTGTAAACAAAAATACTTTCAATAATAACTGCATTTTCAATGAAATTAATAATAATCATCAAAGTTAATACAAATAATTTTAACCACTAATCCATTTTCCTCAATGTACCCGATAACTAGTTCTTTCCCCAAGAAAGAAAAGTTTTTAAGTTCTTAGAAATTGGTGTACTAACTCAAATTATTTTTACTTCAGCCATTCTTACAAACTCGTTATACTTAAACTTAAAGTTAATATTTTATACTTCAAATACTAATTAAAATCATAAAGCCCACTTACGAAACATTAACAGCGGTATTGTGAAGCAGTTCTGCTTCCTCCTAACTAAGTAATTTAACGTTTTTGGTTAATTTCTATCTAGCTAATTAAAATTCTACAGTAACTCAATGATTTAATTATTTCGTTTTGTTTATCTTACTAAGAAGAATTGTTTCAAATGTGTTAAACATTTCAAATTACGCGAAGCATAAAACAGTTATTGAAAAAACTATTTTATTTATAAATAAATCATCTAGCGTTAGTTTTATTGGTTAAATCTTTTTAGACTTTTCAGGGCCGGGGACTGCACTATTTTGATGGCCTTTTTTATATGCCACAGCGTAAAAATGACTAAAAAAATACCGAATAGTCCTCTTGACTGTTTTGCAACCCTTATGATTCTGAGTCCCAGGGCTATAGCCCCCTCCCACCTCCTCAATCCAGCACTTAAAATAAGAAATAAGTATATGAATAAAAATTTATATATACTCTTTGATAAATCGAAGAACATTTGTTTCCTTATTAAACAATCATTAATAAAATTATAAAAGAGCGACGTCTCAAAAATGCTCTAATCGTATTTATTTTGCCTAAAGTTTTTTTGCGTTAAAAGTTATTTTCTTTTTTTAACTGTCTCTTATTGGTCCATGTAGCGATAACACTATTAAAATAGAATGTGTTTTATTATCAGTTTTAACAGGGTATTAATCTCCCTTGATTCATTAAATATTATTGTTTTAACCATGTATCATATCAAATTTATTATGCAATTTAATTTTATAAGATAATTAGAAACTAAATGTCAAAAAGAAAAGTTTCAATGGTAATGATAAACATAAATTAATAATAATAATATAAATATATATATAAAAATACTTTAATTGTAAAATTATAATAATATAATAATATCTGGTAATAATATCAAATGTATATATTAAACAAAATGTATAAATTAAATAAAGATATTGTTTACCTATGATTTATTGATCTCTTCCATTTATAATAATTGACTCAAATAAATAGGGATTAAAAAGTAGATTTTTGATTTAAAACAAAATTGGATTTTTGTTTTAAACAAAATGTTGCAGATGATATTGCAGATACTTACAGATGTTGCAAATAACAACTCAGACAAACAAAATAGTTAAAACCAATAAAAATGTTCAAATAACTAATTAACATGTCAGGTTAAAAAAAATTCTAGAACCTTACCTATGAACACCAGTAACACTTTCTTCGACAATTCCTTTTAACTGATTAAAAATAGAAGGATACTTTTTAAGCATCAAGTGTGTTGCATCTCCACCATCATCTAAAATCTAATGAAAAAATATAAATCAAATAAACAATAAAAAATATACAATCACATAAACAATAAAATGTTACTTTATAATGGACATACTGTAAATTATTTTAATTAATGAATGTACTTAGCAACCTGATAAATTTTCATTTTTAAACAAATGTAACTAAGTTACCTAATAACTTTTCAATTTTGATGGTAAAAAAAAAAGAAAAGTTATTTAGTAACTTAGTTAAAATTGTTTAAAAATGAAAATTTATCAGGTTGCTAAGTACATTCTTTAATTAAAATAATTTACAGTATCTCTTTATAAAGTAACATTTTATTGTTTCTACCATCAAAATGGAATTAATAGCTTAAAAATTTATTGTACTTTTGTTTCTCAACAATATTCTCTGTATATTGTTTCTAACAATTGTTACCATTTTTCAATAAGGAAAAAATTTTCCAGGGAAAGAGATTTACCTTAAACAAGTGATTAGCAAAACAAAAGCCAATTTTAAGGCAAAAGATAAATTTTTTTAAATTAAATTAAAACCTATTTTTAAAATATTTTAACTAGAATATTTAATTTCAACAATTATGTAGAAACCATGGTTAATTGTTAAAAAACCATGGTTAAAGGATTATAAAAATGTCATTTTTATAATCCTTTTAATACATAAAAAAAAAAAAAATCAAATTAACCAATCACATATGCTGTAGACTAATCATTAGTGTTGGTTTCTACTTATTTTGAATAAAGAGAGTTGAATCTTATATAGAATTCTAAATTCAGCATGAAAATTTACTAATGAAATAAAAATAGGGGCTTTAATAGATATACCAATTAAGGGTTTTGGGTTTAAAAATAATTTTTAATTATTATTCGAGAATTTCTGAAAAAAATTGAAGCAAATTAGATTATATATTCAAGGGGCAATAAAAATTTTGACTTCTCATATACATAGAGTCAAAAAAGTAAAAAAATAATATATATAAAATATATTTTCATTTAAAATTGTAATTTTTAAAAAACTTACTATTTTAAATAAAAAAATGTAACACTTTGTCTCTATTAAATGTAACAAATGTAACACTTTGTGTCTATTAAATGTGAAAAATGTAACACTTTGTATCTATTAAATGTAACAAATGTAACACTTTGTGTCTGTTAAATGTAACAAATGTAACACTTTGTGTCTATTAAATGTAACAAATGTAACACTTTGTGTCTATTAAATGTAACAAATAAAACATCCAAGATGATTAGTTATAATTAATTCCTAATATTAATTTGTTACTATTAGAATACTGAACTTAAATTTAAAATTTAAAAGAATGGCACATTACTAAGATGTACAAAGTAAAATTAAAGTCTATTTTAGTCAATCAAAAACTTTTTTTTTTTTTTTCTTCATGGCTGCCTTAGAGAAAGAAGGATGGGTAAATATGGCAATATTGCTGGCTGAAATAAAGCATTAACTATTTTTTATCCTTCTCTTTAGTGAGTTTCTTCTTATAACCCATGTTAACTTCAAATTGATACTTCAAATTTTGGCAAAGTTCTGGAACTTTTAACAGAATACTCTGGGTCTCTCTCACATATGCTTATTCTATTCAGACCTGCCAACTCTTTGAAAGTTAGAAGTTGGCTATCATGGCTCTTTTCTAAATAGATATCTAGATAGATTTGATTGTCAATGAAAGCTAAACCCACAAGTTGTTATGAGAAGAATCATAAATGTCAAGTATATGCAGAATAGATCGCATCAGAAATAATAAAGTGATGTATAAACCAATGACATCTTCTCTCTGCATAGTAAGAAATTGTCTATCTTTACTGCTTGTCATATGGTCCAAAACATTTTTGGTGGCTTAGTTAAAATATTCCATCATGTTGTCTTTGAACATTTGCCTTTAAATTTATAAAAACAAAAATATCCTTGTGGGACTTGTCATTCAACAAAATTGAATCCCTTTACTGTTTCTTCACAAAAATTTGTATTCATTTAGTTTTTTTTCTTAAACATTAAAGCTTTTAAAATTGAATTACAATTAGAATTCTTTCACACCTTTATGTTTTCCTGACTCATACAATTTATCTTTTTTTTTTAAGTCTTCTGTCAACCCCACTCTTTGCTTTCTGTTAACTCCTAACTTAAATAGTGGTGGCTGGTTGTCTTGTTGGGACTGAACTCATTTCAAAAAAAATTAGATTGACATAGCAGGAATTGGTTACTTCCCCATTAGGCAGATCTGTCTAGTAAATTATCTTTAGTATTAATAATAAATATATACTAATAATAAAGACTTTTTTTTCTAAAGTAAGATTATTTCTTCTAAATAACAATTCAAATGAAATAAAAATAGCATTACAAAATTACCAAATTCGGTGTCCATGCTGGATATGTTATGCATTTTTCGATACACCACCAAAAATCTTCCTCAGATTCACCTTTCCATGCAAAAATTGGATAACCTTAATAATAACAAAAACCCAATAATGTTGACAACAAAATAAAAAACATTTAAAACTAATTGGTCATTAAAACTAATGGGTGATTTAATGAAACATTTAAAACTAATGTGTGTTCCCTCAAGAAAGGAACTACAACAAAATGTTAAGAAACAAGAACAAACATGCTTCTTATTTTAGTTTTAGTTTTTAAAATTAAATTACTTTGCTGGACTAATTAAACTTAATCCATTTTTTTCTGATAATGCTTTAAAATAAATCGCACTTAATCTTTTATTTATTGAGCTCACAAACAGCTGTACTACCTAGAGATTGACTTTTTTCAAACAAGGCTTTATTCTTTCTACTAAATTTTGAACTTCTCTAGTTTTCCATTGTAGACTAAACCTTAAAAAAGTCTTATCTGAGGACAGATGGAATGATTTATAAGAAAATAACTGTGATTTTCAATAAATCTCAATTAAATTTCAATAACATTTTTGGCATAATAAGCTAATGCTAAGTCTGGCCAAAAAACATAATTATTATCAGGATATTGTTCATGTATGAATGAAGTCAAAATATTTTTAACACAATCTTTTTTTACCGATTCTTGTTAATATTGAATACCCAGATAGCTTGGTTACTGGTATAGTCATACCTTTGGGAATAATTGCAAGCTGTACCAATTTTATGTTTATGTCAAATTAGGCTTTTTTTTTTTTTATATGTGTGGTCTGGAGTAGTATTTTGTGTTCACTGGACATACCTATCATAACTATGGACATATACCTATCATAACCAATAACTGTGAGATATAATACCTATCATAACCAATAACTGTGAGATATAATACCTATCATAACCAATAACTGTGAGATATAATACCTATCATAACCAATAACTGTGAGATATAATACCTATCATAACCAATAACTGTGAGATATAATACCTATCATAACCAATAACTGTGGACATTAAATTAACATCATCCAATAAGATATATCCAAAATAAAATCCTTGTTAAAAACTTTTCATACAACTCTTTCACATTCTTGCGATTCAATTCCAAACTTTATTATAATGAACACAAATTTTTACATTTTTCATTTATAATATACACAGATAAACCGCTTTTTCATTGATAATATTTTTATTATACACAGATAAACCGCTAATAGCAAACGACTAGTTAATTAAAGGTTGTTACAGGTTGTTAATATACATATATGACTCGAGAAACAGCAAATGTCAAGAAACAAACGAATTAATAATCCAAAAAATAGGAATATCAAAAATCTAAAACCTTTCTCCTAGAAAAGCAGCAAAAAAGTTCATTTGTAGTCACAAAAACCATCTGGAGAATCATTGTAGCCACAAGACCAAAAAATATTGAAGAATATGGAAAAGCCAATTTTATGCTATAAACAAACAAAAAGCCAAACAAAACAAAAAGCCAAACAAAACAAAAAGCCAAACAAAACAAAAAGTCAAACAAAACAAAAAGTAAACAATTAAACTTTTATTATTTTTTATTTTTTAATTATCTTCTCTTCCAACAAAGTTGCAAGCAACCATTATTAGAGTTAGAACTTAAAGGGAGCATGCAATTAATGCCAATTAATTTTGAAATTTAAATTTGTAATTTTTAAACTTCAAATTAAGAAATTTGCTCTAAACTGATAATGACTAGTATTGTTCAAATAAAAAACTTGATGATGTCAAGCACTTGAAGAGCAAAAAATGTGCTGAAAGTTCTTGTTATTTCACCAAAGAGTGAGTAAAATCCACATTAGATTAAGTATAATGGTTACCAACAAAAAAATGTACTGCAAATTAAAAAAAAAATGTCTAATCAAGCAATTGGTCTCATTCATTCAGAAACATTACAAAAAGGATATGTATGTACTATAGACTAATTTAACCAGAGCAAAAAATGCCTAATTAGTCACAGATTGGCTACAAGTACAAATGATACCACCGGTACTAAATGAGATAAATCCAGCAAACATACTTTGTTCTATTGAGAATTTTTGAACATATCTCAAAAATCCTGAATAGACTGTTATTTTTTGTAAATTTTCTTTTTAATAAATTTTTCATAAACTAATTTTAATAAATTATTATTAATAAAGTTTAATGTCTGCTACCATTTACTTATTAGACTGTGTCCATTAGAATTAATAGACCAAATTTTGCACTTATATTGTATTACCTAAAATTAACTTATTGTTAATTCATTGAACTTTATAGAAATTTTATTAGTTACACATGTTGAAATAATAAAAATTCTTAAAAATTTATTCAAATATTTATTAGAAAACATAAAAAGTAAAAGCCAATCTCATTAATTTTAACTTTTTTAAATTTAACTTATAAAGTTGCAAATCTACAAAAGCTTACAAGACAAACACTTTCCAAAACATATTATAAAATGTAAACTGCCAATATTGATGAAGTTTATTTTATTGACAAAACATTTTAAATTTACAATTAATCTCTCTCTATCTCCATAATTTATTCATTATTACATTAAACAATCATAAGTTGTACTTTAGCTAAAACTATACCTTGTATAAAAAGAGAATAAAGCTCATAAATTGAAGCTCAAACATTCATACTTGAAATATTTATACTTGTGGTTTAAAAAAAAAAGAGCAATATTTTTTAACATTTTTCCATGTAAAGACTTCTATTAATAAATGCTTTGTTTTCAACATTTTTCCAAGTAAATTTTGGTAACGAATATTTCATTTTTAGCATATTTTCATGTAAAGACTTCTAGTAATAAATGTTTTAACATTTGTTACTTAATTAATGTTACAGTGCTGAAAATTAACAGTTGAAATATCACATCATCATCATCCCACAGAAACCTCATCGTCACACAGAAATATCTGTATAAAAACCTCATCACACAGAAATTTTTATCATTCAAATAAAATAGAAAATGTTAGAAAGGCAAAACCTTTTGATTTAGTAAATAAAGCATTTTAGAGTTAATAATCATAGTTTAAAGATAAAACAAATATAATATAAAACAAAATAATATAAAAAAAAAAGAAAGTCGATTGGTAAGTTTGATAACATTTTTAAAAAACGTTTTTTTTATTTCTTTTTTTTAACACAAAACTATTTTTATTTTATTTCTATAATTATTTATTATGATAGAAATTTGTTTAAAAAAAATTCTAGAATGTTGATAATAAATAAAAAATATATATTTGATTGGTTCATAAATAAAATTTATAAAAAAAAAAAAACTACTGTTTTTTCAGCAGTTTCTTACAGCCTTATTCTTAAATTATGTCAAGTAATAAAGCGTATGTAAATTTTTTGCATTTCAAAAAAAACAATTTTGTAAAAAATGCCTATATAATTGGCTCCAATATCTGGAAAATAAAAAAATTTATACAAAAAGAATTACAGTTAATTTAATAAAAGATCTGTTTATAAAGTAAAACTTATGCGCATTTAGCAACCTGAATTAAGTATTAACTAATGAGTATGGCAAAAGCTAAAGATTTTGTGGCTCATGTTTTTTTTTGTTTTTTTTATTAATTTTCTTTTGTAAGTTACCATCTCCATACATAAAATGCATAAACATAAAAAAAATATGATTTTATTTTTCATGCTTAATATTCATGCTTAAATATCAAAAATCTAAAACCATCACTAAAACACTATGCAAACTTTATCAAAATTGAAATCAAAAAGCCCCTACCTGATTCAGCAAGCGCAGCTGCTACTTCATTCTAAATCAATAAAAATCAAATAAAAAACAAAAACAAACGCAACTTTAATGTAATAATTTTTTTGCATGTAAAATTGTGTTTTATCCATGTTATTTCAAAATGTTGAGTTAAAAAATTATTAAAGTTGTGTTGCAAGAATAACAATAAAAGTAAATGCACTGCATTAAAAACAACTGCACAATAAAAATACTTAATTTGCAGTAATAAAAACTGAATTGCGAAATCAACTCAATAACAATTGCAATAACAACTGTGTTACAATAACAATAACTGTGTTGCAATAAGTTATTTGCAATTGTTATTATTGCGACTGTGTTGCTATAGCAACAAAATGACACAAACCTGTTGACATTTTGTTAATATTAATGTGCAAAGCAACTCACCTGTGTGGAATATATATTACAAGCACACCATCTAACTTGCGCACCCAGTGCAGAAAGTGTTTCTATTAATACCTAAAAAAAAAATTTTTCATTTTCAAAATACTTAATTTTAAAAATAATAATTTCCAACAAGATTTAAAAAGACTGATTTTTCTATTCTATAAAGATATATTGTTGTATGTTTAAATTTTTTTTTTTTTTTCATTCTACACTCTAAAATGTAATTCTAGACAGAGAAAGCTGCACATTTGTGCAATACAAATGTGTAAAGTACATATAAATATGTTAAATATAAAAAACAATTTTTTTAGATCAGAGCCTCCTTGACTTATGTTACAACTTAAGAACTTTATTTAATAGCTGGCATTAGTATATTTGGATTGTGCAGTTAGTGATGCTTTTCGTCTTTTATGAATCTCTATGTATCTCATGGATTATGATGGACTACTATATAAGATTGTTAAGTCAAATATACTTTACTGCAATTTATCTAACTTTTTCTACAATCTATCTACTAACTTTTTTAACAATGTTCAATGTGGTGCAAACAAGACAATGAAAAGTTTATTATCAATTTTGTACCTTCTTAATAGTATTAGACATTTTAATTTGAAATTTTATATTAAGTTTATTTTAAGTAAACATAAAATTGATATTTTTGCGTCAAAATATTTCTTAGAAAACTACACCACGTCAACTTTTTAAATAAGTTAAAGTCACCACTAGGGAGAAGTTTTATTTTTCTTTATTTCTTATTTCCCTCTAACATTGAAATAAAAATCTTTATGGAGAAATAATTTTAGAATGGAACTACCAATCATGTAATATGCTTTAATCTTATGATCTGCTTCTTAGAAAAAGAGCTCAAACTGCTAAACCACTACCGCTTCTATAGAACTGTTTTATAGGATTGTGCGCTGGATAATTTATAGGATTGTGCGCTGCATACTTTACATATATAACATATATCTGCATGCTTATATAACTTGGTTTCTTACTTTTTTGAACAAAAATATAAAAAACCATGTTATATAAGTAAAACTATTGTTTGAATATATTCAATATATAATTTTTGTTAGAATATTTCTCCTGGGAAATATTCTAAAAAAACATAAACTCCTGGGAGAAGATAAATTCAACTAAAACTATAGGAACTAGACATGAGAACTTCTTTTTTTCTCATTATTTTAATTTATTGTTACTAAAACTGTCTTTAAACCCTATAATCATGAATTACAAGTCTTTACGTACAAGGTCACTGCATGGGAAAAGAAGTTGAGTTTGACACGAGAAAAATAGTTGAGTTGGAACTGTGAACCTCTGCTGAGCAAACACACTATCATTACACCACTACCAGTTAGGGAATGACCCAAATAAAACCAAATTAGACAAATAAGTCAAACCAAGTTAGTAAATGGCAATGAGTAAAATCAAGTTAAAGTAAATGATTGAATAAGCACTAATAGAGATGTATCTTAGTACATAAAAAGAGAGAATAGGGTACATACAGAGAGTAGGATGGTTACAAGGTAGCAGGAGAGCAGGGTGCTTTCTTACATTATATGTTATATTTTGAATATACAGTTAAACTACTAAAAACACTGAAAAAGTTGAAGGATTTTTACAACAAATACTCACTGCTGCTTGAGCAGTAATATGTGTGCAACCAACAATCCGAGCTCCTTCTAGAGGCTTTTCATTATGATTTCTCTTTCTTAAAAGCACGATTCCAGGCATTTCTATAATGAAATAAATAATTGATAAAAAATAAAATTAGTAAAAAGAAAGAAAAAACGCACAAAAAAATTATTAAACTGGACCTTGTTCGGCTATTTCAATTTCTCTTCGCCCAAAATCTGACAATTTGATATTACGTATGCAAAAATCTGACTGCCCACTGGAGTTTGACTAAATGTAATATGTAATTATAACAATGTAATTTTATAAGTTCTTTATTAGTTCTTTTAAACAATAATTTAAAAAAAAAAGAAAAATTTCAAATGACATTGAAATTCAAAACACATTGAAATGAAAACAAAAAATATCCATTTTTATCTTTCAAAATTTTATAATTTTTATTTAAAACACATCAGAAAGTAATAAAAAATCAACAAATAAAAACTTTAAAGATTTATTTAAACCTAAATAAATACTTTCTGCAATAAAACCCTAATTTTATTAGAGATAAAAAAATCAAAACAGAATTTGTTTTTGTTTTTAGAGATTTTCATATCCGTTTAAATAAACGATATTTTGACTGAAATATAATTTCAGGAATGAATAAGGAGTCATGGGGAACAATCTTGGGCAAAAAAATTAAACCCAAAAATTTTCAATTTTTAAAATACTTAATTATGTGCCAAAATAAAAAATAAAATAAAAATTGACATATTTATAAAACTATGGCAACCATACACTTTATGTTTATATTTAGGATGTAACTTGGCATATCCATATTAAAAGACATTTAGAACTTATCATTTGTTCATTTTTCAATCAGGTTAAATTATTTAAAGATGTATCAGTCAATGCATGTTACAAATTACTAATTATCAATTATGAAAAGGCTAGCAATAAATTCATTCCACATAAGGTGATGAAGTACTGTGAAAAAAGGATCCAAATATTAAGCTGGAGGTAAAATATAAGCTAAGAAATGGATGTGGGCAAAATATATCTCTGCTGGAAAAAAATCAGCAAAAAAAAAATATTAAAGCCAAATATAAAATAGCTCATAAAAGCAATAAAGAAATGACAAAAAGAGAAACACACAACTTTGAGGAACAGTTATTGGAAAAAGCTAAATCAAATGTAAAAGTATTTTATATATGCATCCAAAGCAAACAACAAGAAATGTAAAAGTATTTTATATATGCACCCAAAGCAAACAACCAATTTGCACTCTACAAAACAAAAAATATATAACTATTATTGATAATAATAAGACATGCTTTATATTAAACCTTAGTGCTAAACTTTTACTCAGTATTTAAAGAACTAGATTCCAGTCCTCTTCCAGATTTTAACCAACAAACAGAAGCATTTTGCAACACAGAAACAGAGCTGTTAATAACTGAAGAAAGTGTTCAAGAATGCATTGAAAAACTGAATTTAAAAAAAACAATAGAATATGACAACATTCATCTTAGAATTCTCAAAGAATGTGCAAAAGGTTTTGTGATTCAATTAACTATTATCTATTATCTCTTACTGAAAAGTGGTGAAACTCCTGATATATCTAAAATGGCAAACATTACTACTATTTTTAGGAAATACAGTAAATTAGAAGCCTTGGATTAAAGAGGAGTTTAGCTAACATCTATTGAAAGTAAAATACTAAAAAATCTTATGCCTAAAGCAATTATGAGTTATTGTAATGAAAACAGTATTTTATTAAAATCCAAACACGGTTTTATTTTAAAAAAAAAAAAGTTGCGTTAGAAACTCTGGACATTTTTACAAAAGCCATGCAAGACAATTATCGAGTTGAGACAGTGAACACTGACTTGGAGATTAAATAAAGCATAAAGCATTTGATAAAATCCTCCAATCTGTGATCATTTAAAATATTTTATATCTGAATTTAAAAGGAGATCTCAGAATTCTGATTTCTGATGATATAAAAAAAAAATTAAGTTGAAGCAACAGCTGCTAAAGCAAATTGAGTACATTTAATAAAACATTTAAAAATAACAGGCTTTCTCTCTGAAAGTCACTTTACACTACCCACACCTTAAGTTTGCAACCCTAGCTTGGTTACTCTATAAATTAGGTACTAAAGGGTCTAAAAAAGCCTGATTATAAAAACAACATTGATGAGGATACTTAGACAATTAAATCCACTTCTGTAGTACTAAGTGACAAGACCATTAAACCATTACCATCAACCTTAATTTGCAATGTCAGAGTTTAACAATGATCAGCATTAACTTCATTAAATCTTCATTTTGTCAAACAAAACTCAAATTCATTTTACAATTTAGGTAGAGTCTTCTGAGCTTGATTATTTTATGACAGGGATTGGATGTCCAGTGTAATAATAGCAGTGAATGGATTCTTTATTAATGACCATTAAGCACATAATCTTAAATTTTTTAGATTTTCTTGTATTTTTAGTAGTTACTAAATCTTAGTATTAAAAAGTTGTGTGATCAAGTAAGCAGTTAAAAAAAAATTAAATAAAAATCAAATTTAAAAAGTTGTTCTGTTATTTCAATTTCGCTTTGTCCCAAATCTTTTTGATTTTGCAAAAATTCAAATGTCCACTGGAGTTGGACTAAATGTAGTGTTTTTAAAATAACAACAGTTTTATTATTCAAAATAGAAACACTTACTTTTTTTTAATTTTAATTTTAAAAAAATGTCAAATTAAATTTAGGCAGGGAGTTTTTACACACAAGTTATTTTTTTCAAGCAAACACACCAAAGTTATTATGTCTTTGATAAGCTACAGTCCAAAACAATCTTTTTTTTTTCCAGCTATTTTTCAACTTTTTTCCTACAAGTGTCTGAATACATAAAAATAATATTAATATAACTGTAGACTATATTAATAGCGTGTATCTGAGTATGTAACTCAGCCACTAAGTAAAATGATTTTTACCTGTTCTTTTTCTCTTGGATTTAAACCACCATCCTCATCATCTGATGAATAACTTGCATCTGAATAACTTGCTAAAAATTTAAATTTTTATGCAAAAAATTTATATTCTTTAAAATTTGATATTATTTATCATTTAAGTCCTTTTAAATATTACTGATTATTTATAAATTACGTATACAAATGTCAATCACAAATTAAATTGTTTTTTAATCTAAAATTTGCATTGTTGGCAATATTTGATGTTAGTGGATCAAACAATTCTGAGATGTCTCATTTTCCTAAACAAGTTTTTTTAAACACCTATGTTGAAATTTTTCTTTATCTAAGTTCTTTAATTTTATATGTTACACTTGGTAAGAACTTCATAGAAATAAACACCACAGGGTTATAGGCTGAAAAAAAAAAGAGATAAATTGAGATAAAGTGGTAGATAAAGTAATAAATTAAGATTGTATTGTCTTCACAACATAGCAATAGTGCTTTTAAACTAACATAGGCCACATGCCTATCTAGATGTAAAAATAAATATTTATAATTGCCTGGCATTAAGGTACTTCTTTTAAACATTAATTAACTGTATCATCTATCCAAACTGAATCAAAAATTGAGTATTTGAGTATATATTAGCTCTCGCTCTTGCCCACACTTCCATAAAACAGTTTACGGGAGCAATTTATGGCTCTTGCAAAAGTATTATTTTTTCTCAAAAATATAATTGTCATTGCAACTAAAATAAAAAATACACAGTAATTTTAATAATTATTTTTAATAATTCTTAAAATGTCTGCATTCTATTCGAATAAGAAAATGTAAATTTTTTTTTATAAGCAGTATAAACAATGCTTGTCTAAGGAATTTATTCATGCTGCAATAAATGTTAAGTAAAAATTCTTGTAACAAATTATAAAAGAAAACGATTTGTTGTGTCCTGGGCTTGTAACAAGTTGTAAATAAAACCAAAATTTTGTATTTATGAATAATTTTTGTAATAAATAAACAGAAAGCTCGCGCAAAAACCAAAAGCTCCCCTAAAAGCTATTTAGAGGAGCAGCTCACATAGCTTGCCATGTTCGTTTTAGGAGAGCATTTTGCTGCTCTCGCACTCATTTCTTCCTGCCGAGGCCTATATATATATATAAAAGGTCCTCAAGTTATAATTTGGGCGGCGCACAGTGAGCCAGAAAGGTGAAAAAACGGCAAAAATTATATAACTATCATATATAAATGTGTGATATATCAATACTATTGTATTTTGGGTCAAAAAATTTAAATTTGTTATTGAAAATATTTTTTACGCGTACCTATGACGCTACAACGTAAGCTTACGCATGTAAGTGTCATTTACGCGCGCAAAATATGATTTAAATAAATAAATCGCATTCCTTAATCCAAAATACCATATAAAAAAATACCACATATTTTTTAATGTAAATTTTTCTTGTGCCTAAGGGTCGTACACGCGTATAAGACTCTAACACGTATACACGGCACAAATACTTAATTTTAAAAAATTAAATTCTTCAAACCAAAACATATACTTATTAAAAAGAAAAATTGGATTCAAAAAATTTTTTAATATTATAATAATATTAAAGTATATTAAATACAAAATAAATATTTATCTAATCTAATTTTTCTTTCAAGAAAACAAAAGAAGAAAACCTAAAGTTATAAAAAAGCTTTATTTCATTATTACAGCATTAACAAAGAAAAAACTTCAGGGGTAAGTATTTTCCGTTTTCAACCTTGTATTTTTTGAAACAAATGTTTGATATTACAGGATCACTTCTAATCAAGAGGTATTAGTACTAGTTTTTTATAACATTCTTTCTTGATATCTTGGCTGTATGGTTTAATCTAGCTTTGCGAATTTCCTTATTTAGAGCCTCTTGTGACTCTTCAGAATAGTAACCAATTGGCAGTTCTAATGCCTCAGATATCTGCACACCATGTTCCAAGAGTTTATGAACAGTTGGGGGAATCACATATTGAGTATAAAAGCAGTAGTTTCATAGCAATACTGGCCAAAATTTCCTGAGTTTAACTCATAACAGGAGCATACTGATATTAGGATTGTCTTCAATCTAATAATTACATCTACTGACACTCCTGTTATATCAGCGAAAGTTTCAGCATTTTCAAATGCCCTTCTGGCAGTGTTTCCATCGTTAGTGTTGCCAAAACCCTGTTTAGGCATATCAACTATAAGACTTAGCTCCTCTCTAAACCTCAGTTGAATGTTCTTTTTTCTACTTTTTACTGATGCTTTTTCAGCGAGGGATTTGACGAAGTATTTTTTAATGTTTAACTTATATCCTAAATGTAAAATATATTCAAAAGATCTGAGCCAGCAATGCAGAGTAGAAAAACCTAAAGATAAGAGAGATAAGAGATAAAAGAGATAAAATTTTTTCATTAATTCGTTTAGATATGATCAATTCTGGGCTATTAAGTTCACTAGGCTTAGATCCGCAAATATTACATGATTGGGAGGACAGAGTGTTAGTGAGGGCATTAACCACTTTACCATCAATCAAGGTTAAATCTAGTTTGAACTTAAATGTGATTGTTGTATCCGGTTTGCCTTCCTCTACTTCTAACTTTACTTCAAACTTGACTAGTCTATTCATTTCTGCTTTTAAAAGTTCATACTCATTTCGTATCAATTCTTCCGTTTCTTTTTGATATTGGAGATGTAAGGGTCTACAGTAATGTGTACTGGAAGGCTTCTTATTTAACCATATATTTTTGTTCGTGATGGTAAATTTAAGTGGAACAATAGCCGTCTGGAAAAGACTTTGCTCGTTAACTTGGGCCTCACCAATATTTGTATCAGTATATTTTTGTTTATAGACACTTTGACTGGAGGCACCACCAAAGCCACCTTTAAAGTGAAGTACACCTTTAAACTTTCCCCCAATTTCTGCAAACATTCTCATAGAGTCTTGGCATTCTGTAAAAGTTAATATTCTTGTCAGAGTATGATTAAACAGGCCTTCTCAAAAGACGCGTGCAGTCGCACGCCTTGAATGACCACACATATATATTTTTTGTTGATAACATGGCCACATGTATATTTATAGCAAGTGCTTAAACATTTGCAAATATGGCAACTAACAAAGCCCCACTATGATAAATGTCAATTCTTTTTGTTTTTAATTAAAAGTTTTAAAAAAAATAATTCAAGTTGATTTTTAAAGGCGTTAACTGACGAGGCAGATACGATGGAGTTTGAAAGGATGTTCCATCAGGTATAATGCAATTAAGAGGAAGAATTCTCTTTGTAAACAGTTTGCTACTGATTGACGTTGAAGACAATGACATTGACCATGGAGGCAGTTGGCTGGTCCTTGTATGTTTAGTACTGGAGCTAGTGAGTTTGGTTTACAAAGCTCAACTTTGTTAATGCTGTGGTATAGTTTGAAAAACTGTATTAGGTCACCCCTACGCCTTCTATCCTTAAGCGATTGAATGTTTATTGAGGCTAGTCTTTGGTGATAACTTAGAGGCTTGAGATGAGGTACAAGCTTAGTGGCTTTTTCTTGCACTAATTCAAGAGCATCTATGTCTCTGCAATTATAACATGTTCTTTTTAACATGCCTAGTGCCATGTTAGCTTTAGCTACAGCGAGTGTCACTTGGTCATGCCACCCAAGTTGGTTGTTAACAATGATACCAAGGTCACACTCGGAGGTAGTCTCACTAAGGCTTTGGCAGTTACCGATGGGGTCTTTTATAGTAAACATTATGTGCGAGCCAGGCTAACCATCAATAAATGCAGTGTTGAGGCAGTTGTTAACTCTCTTGTAAAAGAACATGGCTTTACACTTGTCCTCAATAAAACTCATGCTTCATGTGTGGGCCCATTTAACTAGACAATCAATGTCCTCTTGGAGAAGTTGGTAGTCAGAGATGTCTTTGATAACAGCTACTAGTTTTGTATTGTCGGCAAAGAGTTTACAGCAGTGATGAGTAATTTTGGCATATTGTTGAGGAAGATAAAGAAGAGAAGGGGTCCTATTACAGAACCTTGCAGAACTCCACTGAGGACATCCAACCAATCAGAAATGTATTCACCTTGTACGATTCTTTGACTGCGGCCCTTTAGGAACAATGCTATCCAGCTACATGTACAAATTTGATCCAGCAAAAGACGTATGAAATGTCAAACCAAATGCACCTCTAACTGTATGGTGTGATGAAAGTTCATTGGCGAAAAGAGTTGTGATAATGCAAGGTGACAAAAAAATAGAAGATGTGACATGGTTTCGACCAAAGCCTGATGCAATCCATGTCAGCATAGCTGAATTAGATGTATAGGGCTTGACTTAAGCATATTGCGATCACGAATTGCAATTGCTTTCCTTCCTTCGCGATTAGCTTTTTTTGAAAAAAAAATTTGCGATTTGTTTTTTTTTTTTTCTAAAAAACTAATCATGAAATAACTTCTTTTTTTTTTGCTATTCTAAAAATTCAGAGCAAATATTATTGTGTTTTTTTAATTTTTAAATTTTATTGTGGAAGGTTTTTAATTTTTAGTAAATTGTAATCCATTAAGTAACGTCACCCTTAATTTAACTTTTAAATAAAAATAATAGATATTTTTGCTTTCTTTTGTTGCTCTGTTGCTACTTTTGTTCATTGTAAAGCGCTTTTTATTTTAATTACATAAATCTGTGCAGGGTAAATAATTATTGGTTAATTCCAGTTATATGTTAATTTGATGTTGATAAACTTCACACTAAATTTAGCGAAAAAGTTCATCATATCAACCAATCATATCAATCAATAATATTAACCAATCATATTAACCAATCATATTAACCAATCATATTAACCATTTAGTTACAAAATTCAACCAATAAATATACATAGCGTCTCCAAACATTCCTAAACTAAGTTCAGTCATGTTTCTATTGTTACTTACACATAAAAAGCTTCTAACCAGAAATTATTTTAACAAGGAATTTGGAATTTTCTTTACTGTGGATAGTTTACTCCTGTGATCTTTATTTGAATCCATTTTTTAATCAAATTTAAAATGAGTAAATATACGAGTAAGTAGCTGTTT